TGCTACTAGTAGTAAGGCCAGGAGCCCCTAGTAGCTTCTTGCTCCTACTAGCGATGCCAGGAGCCCCTAATTGCGTCCTTGCTCCTAGTAGCGATGCCCTTTGCTCCTAGTAGCGTCCATGCTCCTAGGTCAAGCTATGTACGAAAACGCAAACCCCGATTTCTCTTCAAGGAAGCTATGCTGATATCATCGCTGTCGTCAACAAGTGCGACGAGAAGATGGCTCAAATGGGGCAATGGTCAAACCAGTCCGATTGGACTGATTTTTGGGACACCGCTAGGAAGAAGGCGTGGCAGGTCGTTAAACCATGTTACACCTCTCGCCGTTTGTACTGCATTCTGTTTTTGCTGCGCTTGGAGTGTCGCAGTGAATTCGATGTCTCCCCGCTCCCCGAACTCAGTCTTGAGTTCGCTTTGCCTTTATGAACCTGTCGTGGTCTTGGCGTGGACAGTTTTTAAATTTGATTCCTGACCCATGCGCCTTGGTTTGTCGACCGACAGGGCTTCAAGAAGATCTGTATCACTGGATGGCCATGCAGCAGCAGTGACCGAAACAGCCAGGATCTGGCAAAGCAAAAGAACGTGCTTGGTCAATCGTGTGACGCGGAGGATCGACTGATAGCAGATTGGCCACTTGCACTTGTTAGCCACTGCCTCCTTTTGAATACGAAAAGGGTGCATGTCAGTGGCTAAGTCCCCTAGCTGAGGAAGTCGCGCGTGGAAGTAACTTCTGAAGCTGCTGAGTGCATTGGTTTGGATGCTTGGCTGCAGTACTAGTAACCAAGGGCATCGCTACTAGTAACAAGGACGCTACTAGTAGCTCCTGGCAATACTACTAGGAACAAGAAGCTACTAGTGACAAAGGGCATCGCTACTAGTAGCAGTGGTTTGGATTCCATAGTCTTTGTGATTGTGCATCGACCAGGACAAGTTCCGGCAATTGCATCGATTGGGGGAGCTTTGTGACCGGAGTTTGCCGCATATCCGGTGTCAGAAGAAAGAGATTGGGGATAGAGTGGAGGAACTCAAGAAGCCCGGCTGCAAGGCTAGCGGCTAGTTGCTTGTTCCAAGGCTATTTTCACACATGCCAAGCACTCCTTGAGACAGTTTATTCTCTTGAGGCTTTGAACCAAACTGTTCCTAATAGCTTCTTGTTACTACTAGTAAGGCACTTGTTACTAGAAGCGATGC